CCAAGATCCCGAGAGGAGAATGGAGGAGAAGGGATTGTGGTATGGCCATTCCCCCTGGGGGGTGATTTCTTGCTTTCTGTCTCTCTGTCTCTCTTTGTCTGGCGAGCACATGCGCCCTATAGCAAGAAAAAAAAAAAAAAAAAAAAAAAAACCCCCCCCAAAAAAAAAAAAAACCTTTTCATGTATGAAACACAATGACATTTGCCCCTTTTTAGTATTTGAAATAAATTCTTTTAAAAATTTATTTCACTTTTTATAATTCAATCACTATACTTTATTTGCTTTTTGTAGAGAATTTAACCAACATGAAGTACACCTCAGACCAGTCCACTTGAGAATGTGTCTCTATGTCTCTCTCTGTCTTTCTGGCGAGTGCACACACCCTATAGCAAAAATCTCTCAAAAAAAAAAAAAAAAAAAAAAAAAGAAAAAAAAACCCTCTCCGAAAAATAAAAGAAACCTTTCCATGTATGAAACCACATTAGAAATAATGGGAGAGTTGGCTAATACTTCAGGTTTTACATGCCAACAACAGACAAGGAGATACACAAAGGAATAGGCAACCATAAAGGAGTCAAATAAATCTCCAAAAATGGGACCTAAAGAAATTGAGATATATGAATAAAGAGGCAAAGAATGGAAAAAATACTGTCATGACTCATAATGAGTTAAAAACACAGACAACTAAATGAACTCAGGAAAATAATGCATAGAGAAAATAAAAGTATCAACAAATACAAACTTTGAGGAAGAACCAAACAGAAATTCTGTAGCTGAAGAATACAATAACCAAATTGAATATTCTCAGAAGAGATTCAACAGCACAGCTGACCAGGCAGAAGAAGCAGCTATCTTGAAAACAGGACTGCCAAATTACTAAAGCAAAGAAACAAAAACTTTAATAAAGAAAAATGAAGAGGGCCTGAACAGACTTAGAGAACACAATAAAATGGAACAACATACATTATGGGAGTCCTAGGGAGAGAATTTAGAAAGCTGTAGAGAACCGACTAAGTGGAATAATTAATGAAAATTTCCCAAATCTGAGGAGAGAAATGGGCATTAAAATTTAAGGAGCTCTATAAACTCAAACTATGACCAGTCTAAAAGAACCTACAGTAACATCCATTATGGTCAAAAGTAACAGTGGATCTTGGCAGTAGCAAGAGACTTGTCATGTGAAAGGGATCCAATTAGAGTATCAACTGGTTTATTCTTACTTTTGTTTGTTTTGCTAAAGGATGTATATGCTTGCTGGACAGAGACATGGAGAGAAAGAGGGAAAGTGAGAAATCCCCCACCTCCAGATGACCACACATAATCTCTTTTCCTCCTTTTTCCTCTTGAAATTTTGGACACACACACATATGTGCCTGGTGTGTTTTTCAAGCTGCCCGGTATAGGGCTTGAAACACCACCAGTTGACCCCAACAGTAGCCATAGTTTCTTTAGCAGAAACCTTACAGGTTAAAAGAGAATGAGATAATATATTCAATGTACTGAAAGGAAAAAAAGAACTTCCTATCAAGAATAATAAATACAGAAAAACTGTCCTTCAAAAATGAAGGCAACATTAAGGCTTTCCACAGTAAGCAAAAACTGAGTTTATTATCACTAGGGCTGTCCTATAAAAACTGTTAAAACGAGCCTTACAAGCCACAATGAAAGGACCACAAATAGAACACAAAATCATATAAAAATATTAAATTCCCTGGTAAAGGTAACTATATAAACAAATATAGAATCTTGTAGTATTGCAGTGTACATTAGTAAGTCACTTATAAATCTCATATCACTTTTCTTAAAAAGAAAAAAAAGCATAAAAAATAGCCCAAACCTTTTAATAGAGATGTAATATTAAAATAGGTAATTTTGTCATTAATAACATAAAATAGAACCTTATATACAATTGAACTTCTTATCAGATAAAATAGATTATTATATCTTTAAGATGTTTTATGCAATTACAATGATAACCACAAAGAAACTATAGTTATACACACAGAAAATGAGAAAGAAATCAAAATATCAATGAAACACAAGGACAGCCAAAGAAGCAAAAAGGGACCAAACCAAACCGAACAAAAGAAAAGATTTCTAAAAGAGACAAAAAATCCTACAGAATGATAATAGTAACTCCTTTCCTATCAGGAATTACTTTAATCAAAAGTGGAATAAATATATTGATTAAAAAACATAAACAGGTTCAATGGATAAAAAAATATGATCCAATGATATGGTACTAAGAGACTAACTTCAGATATAAGGACAGATATAGACCAAAAGTGAAAGGTAAAAAAAGACATTCCATTCATATGAGAACCTAGAAAGAGCAAGGATGGCCATACTTAAACAAAATATATTTTAAGACAAAATTCCTCATAAGTCACAGGGAAGCCATTGTGAAGTGGCTTTTGCAATGAAACATAATATGGTCACAAATTTCTTGGACTTAAGCATGGACATTGTAAGTAATCTGCTTACCATAACAAGATTAACAGATGTTTAGTCATAAAATAAGCATTTTATACATAACTACAATTATATTCATTTATAAAGAGATTATAATATTAAATCATATTTTATGATAAAAATGGAATTAAATCAGAAATCATAGAAATAAAGCATAAAATACCCCCAATATTGGAAAATTTAACAACATATTTATAAGTAGCCTATAGGTTAAAAAAAGAAATTGTAAGAAAGATTAGGAAAAAAATTGAATGAAATGACTTAAGACTAAATCAAAATTGGAAGAGAAGGGAATACTTACCACTTCATTTTATGAAGTGAACATAATTCTGACAGTAAAGCCTGCCAAGTCTTACAAGAAAATTAAATTATAAGCCAATATATTTCATAAACATAGATGCATATATTCTCCAGAAACTTAAGCCAGTTCTGTGGTGTAATGTTAATGTGCTTTGTAAAAGAGCTGGGTACTACATGTATACTATGGTTCAAATCCCCAGACCTCAGCCTGGAACACCCTGAAGTTCATAAAATTTGATGCGCTAGAGGACTGAAGGACGGGAATGGTGGTGCGACTGGACCGTGTAGAAGGCACTGCTCTCTTCCTCTCCCATGCTCTCATGTGTGCATGACATGCTTTATCATGAATAAAGGAAAATATTTTTTAAAAAGCAAGCAAATCAAATTCAAATATGTAAAAGAGAAAAACAGGTCATTACAACATGGAGGTTATTTCAGTAATGCAATATTGTTTTAATATTCCAAAAGAAACTTATATAATGTTTTATAATAACTTTCTTTTAAAGGATGCAGAAAAAGCATTTCACGAAATTCATTAAATATTTATGATAAAAAGCAATCCAGGAAGAGAATAAAATATCCTTGACCTGATGAAGGCATTTGCAAAAATCTTAATAGCTACTGTCATTTGTAAGAGAAAAAAATCAGATGTTTCTATATTAGTTTCCTAGAGGTACCACATACTAGGTGATTTAAATGACAACATATTATTGTCACATAGCTCTGGAGGTTAGAAGTCTAAAATTAAGGTGCTGATAGATTGGTTCTTTCTGAGGTCTGTGCACAAAGGACCTGTTCCAGTGTTTCTCTCTTTGGCATACAAATGTATATAACTTTCTGTATCCTGAGGGAAAGGAAAGGGCATGTAGAATGTCTTATGAATCAAAGAACTTAAGGGAACTTAGTGCCCTGTGTTATTCAGGATAGGTTACACTGCAGTAACAACAAACATTCTGAGTGGCATGTAATAAACAAATTTATTTCTCATACTCATTTCAGTTCAACAAGGGAAGTTTTCTTCTTAGTCCCTTTACAAAACATCACAAAAACTTCATTTTGTCGTGTCTTAACAAGCTAGTATGACCAATTGTGAAACATTATTTCTGGCTGCATTTTATTGTGGAAGCAAAATGGCTATTCTAAATCATATGGCCACTCTAAAATTGAACAGTATAGTATATTTAATTGAAGAGAAGAGCACCAAATATTTATGAACAATAATACATTATGTGTATGAATCTGAGGTCAGAAATAAAAACTTGTAGAAAAAAGTAATTTGTTTTAGAAAAAATATTTGAAAAATAAGACGTGAAAATAACCCTTATTATTCCATAATCTTCTAAAAACACTATTATCACCTAAACAGAACTTTCCAGGTACAAAAATATTTTCGTATACAATATTTTATTTGATTTTTATAAAACTACATTCAGGAAGACTGTTGGATGCAATAGTAGGTAAGAGTTCACTGTGGAATTAGACTGCTCAACTTTGAATTTCAGTCCTTGTAATTGCTACAATGTGACCATGGTAAAATCCCATTAATTTTTTCAGTGTCCCTGTTTCCTTATTTTTAAAATAGGATAATGATACTTTTGCCTTACAGTGTGTGTGTGTGTGTGTGGTGTAATCAAAATGATAACTCAAGGAAATTGCACTTGATAATTACTCTCAATCCATATTATTATCTGTATGGCTAGTGCTTTTTGTATTTTTATCAATAGTGCTAGTAGTTTTTATATTTTTATTATATTTATAAACAATATTTTCATCCTGTCTAAAAGAGTATCTAAAAAAAAGTATGAATTGAAATGTTTTCTGTAAGGTTCTCACAATAGATGACAAAGATTTGATTTAAAAATACGTTTAGTGACTATTTACATTCTAATCTCACTTATTGTTATTAACTAACTTGACCCAGTTATATGCTAATCTGCTCTTTAAGTTTCTTTTAGGGAAAGTTTTTCCTGTATATTGATATAAATAGCTAAGGGGGGGAAATGAGATTGGGAGGGGATAGGGAGAAAGAGGAGGCAAACAACTGAAAAGGTAGAATGTAGTTAGAAGAGGAGGCAAGGCAGCAAACCAGCAGGGGGAGGAAAGACAGTGCTATGTTCAGGAATCAGTGTTACTGGCCAATCTGATGTCATTGTGGATGACAGATTTCTTTTCTTGTGCCAATTAGATCCAGAGAATTGGAGCAGCGCTGTAGGAAGGCATGTTGAAAGGACAAGGTTATAGAAAGTCTGTAAGAGCCTAAATCCAATATTTTTTTTCCTAACTGAAGACAAAGTAAAACGAAAATTGTATTATTTTTGTTATTTTATGACTGAAAAACACTGAGCTGTAGTTTTGGAACATTGCTGATTTAAAGAAGTTCATGTGGTAAGTGATTTTAATTTTTTTTTAGTATCACATAGGTTTACCTGAACCATTTTCTTTTTTAAAAATAAGTGAGTTACTCATATGCTTTTATATAAAGTTTCACAATCTATTTTAGGTTTGTTGACAACTCATGTTTCAATGTCCACTAGCACAAAATGTGCTATTTATATTGGAAGCATGTCTGAGTCTTGGCTCCAAATATTTCTCTGATTTTGGAGATCTGGTAGGCAAATTCAATTATCTGTGCCTCTTTAATCTTACCATGTGACTTATCTGGAGCTCAAGTTCATTTCTTTTTATTTATTTATTTTTTTTAAATTTTTCCCCCCAGGGTATAGGACTTTTGGGTGAAGGTTTACCATTTTGAGAAATTTTTACATAATTCAATATAAAATTTAACAGGATTAGGACTTTCTTTAAGTAAGAAAAACCACTAAGTTCACTAAGTCCTTTAATAATAGGACTACTACTTACAGCTTTTGAATATTGCAAACTGGGCAAATAGAAAAAAAAAAATCAAAACATGGAGATAAATATATATGACAATATAACATGCATAGATGTGATATTAAGTATTTGCATTAAAAATTTCAATGGCACTTAAATTACTTTCTATACAAATATTTAATTATGAGACATCTATCAAGTACAAATGACAGAAATAGGTAGCTTTTCTTTGTCAATGCTAATTTATCTGCATGTTAAAAATCCTTAGTATCTGGCATCAACGTAAACCTACTTTGAAGAGGGACAGAAATTTATAAATAACTGATATTTATAGTAAGTAAGAAATAAAGCTATAGAAAAAGATACAATTTTCTTGGATGTACTACTTTTTACTTAACATTTTTATGTTAACTTTTATTTAAATGATGGCTTTGATATGATTTTAAGAGATTCTAAGCTAAAAGTCTAAATTATTGGCACTCAATTTGTTAAAAGGAAATTTGAATATACATCATAGCCTTTATCTTACAATGTCATTCATAGTATAGACATGAAACAAAATAACAAATACCTCTTAGGTAATATTGATTGAAAAAAATATTATCAGGAACATTAGAAACGAAGTAATTTTGAGTTAACAGAATTCTCATCTTTTAAACATTGAATATGTCTTATTGACACTTCCAATGTAACTACTCCTTAAGGAGTCATTTTATGTTGCTAGGATATTATCAAATGTATTATTTCATATTTTTAAGAAATTCCTAAGATAGCGCACTTGACACATTATAGTAACTGTTAGACTCTACGTCATCAGGCCTATATCATCAGCTATTTAGTCAGTGTTCTCTATTATTTTGTTCGTAAAACTTATCTACACTGTTATACTCCTCGCAAATTTTTCTTCCCTGTTTGTTTTTTAAACCTTTTTTCTGGAATGAAACTGCTCTCTCTATTTGAAAGGCACTTCTTTATCCTCTACTTCCCATTCCTCCTACCCCATCATTTATATGGACTGGTGGGTTTTGCCCAAAGCTGTGGTGGCTTTTTTATTTATTTATTTTTTTAGAGGTTTAACTTTAGGGTATGTGCACTTGTCAGAGAGAGAGAGAGACAGACAGACAGACAGAGACCGTGAGAGGGAAAGTGTGAAATCACCCCCACCATGGGAAATGGCTATGCCACAATCTCTTCTCCATTCTCCTCCTGGGATCTTGGGCACACACACACACCACAGGCCCGGCACGATTTTCAAGCTGCCAGGTCTGGGACTCAAACAGTGGTAGGCCATGTGGGAGTCCAGTGACATAAATGCTATGCTATCTGCTGGTCCCCAAAGCTGTGACTTTGTATTCAACACTCTTTTGATACCTTGTCAGGTCTCAGGGATTTAGCTTTCTATGCCTGATAATTCAGCCAGTGTGCACTGGCCTGTATATACTCATTGCTTTGGCATCTTTACTTGGTTTCTGTACTCAGTCAGTTAAGTATTTTTTGTGTGCCATTTCTCAAATTATCATTGCTTTGTTCAAAAACTCACAAAACTCTCTGCTTCTTTCTTCATATCTATTCCTTAAATTGTTTTTATATTTACATTTGTGGTTAAAAGTGATACCTCAGACTTAGTATATCCCATATTAATTTCTCAGTTTCCTCAACTAAGTCTCTCTCTAGATTGCACCATCAGTGATACAGGCATTGCCATTCTTCCATTCGCCCAAACTGTACATCACCAAGTCCCCTGTGACTCTTTTCCTTATTCCCTTACATCTAATCATCTGCTATTTCTTTCTTTTTCTTTTCTTTTTTTCTTTTCTAAATTTGCTAGAGGGTGAGAGAATCAGAGATGGGGTGGGAGTTGAGAAAGGATCTCCCATGGGGAATGGTCATGCCACATTCCTGTCTTCTCCATCTCTCTTTTTGGGATTTTGGTCATTTACACACATGCTGCACCCAGGATGTTTTTAAGTCTCCAGGTCCTGGGCTTAAATCATACTGTCAGTCATGTGGAATCTAGCCATCTTAAGCAACACAACACCCACTATTCCTATCCACCATTTCCTATAAGTCAATTTCTACTAAATCTATTGCATCTATTCTCTCTGCTTTAGTTAATTATTGCTGAATAGCAGTAACATTAGTATCTCACAGTTCTCTGGATTTTGTAGGTGGTTCTTTTGTTGGTTTATCCCTGGCATATAATTCGACTACTGCTAGCTGGTGGGTTAACTCAGATGGTTGGGATGGCTACGGACAACTAGACTCTTCATGGGGTCTTTCATCTCAGTTATGCTCACAGCACAGTGGTCTCAGAACTTTAAGAAATTAAGCCATTTTGTGCAAATCCTAATCATACTTCTGCTTTTGTCTTGTTTGTTCATGTTTGATTGGACAAAACAAGTCATAAGCCAGCCCCATAGTCATATATCCACATGGATTTGGATATTGGAAAGCGCCATTCATTGGGTAGCCTGTACGGTAACAGTCTATCTACCTTTTCTATTTTTCATTTTTACGGCTCTAATCATAGTTCCGATTTCCATTAGTGCTATGTTTACTGATGCATGTTTCCCAGTGTTTCCACTCAGTTCTCTCTGCTTTCTCATCCATCTGATATACTACAGAAGTTCTAATCAAGTTATGTCTTGTTTAAAACAAGCACAAACCGTCAATAGCTTCTTACAGAATTGAAGAGAAAAATTGTTTCACTCTCTTTGGCTTTGAACATCCCCAATATACCTTTCTTACATTAACTCCCATGGCTCCCCTATTACTTGTTTGTTTAAATATTGATTTATTTAATTCCATTTGTTGTTATTATTGTTGTTGTTGTTATTTAATTTGACCAGAGAGAGAGAAAGGGAAAATGAAGACGCAAGCCTCCAGGTCCAGGACTTGAACTACAGTTGGCCATGTGGGCGTCCAGCATCTCAACCACCACACTATCTGCCGGCCCCAGACTCCCCTATACTTAACTTATGGTTCTAAAACACAATATTGACTCCTTGTCCCTTTCTTATGTATCATAATTCTGTTTTTCTTACTTAAAGACAATTTCACTTTACTTCTTTTGGGCAAGTCAAATCCAGTCTTTATGTTAATTTATCCTCTCCTATTCTCACCTGTCAGAAATCATTTTCCTACCAATGAAATTCTAAAGCACTTTACTCAGAACTCTTAAGCCAGTGATTATATTCTTCACTTTATTATTGTTGTTTGTTTTTTCGTGTTTGGATGTGTTCCTTCCCTGATTTAATTTTTTAAATGGCTCTAATAGAAATATATGAATCGTTTATTATGCAATTTAACATTTTTATTAGCCATGTTTAAAGAAACAAAAAGAAATTGGGAGAATTATGTTAATAGTACACTTTATGTAGCCTGACATATTACAAAATGTTATCATTTCAATATATAACATAAAAATTGTTTTACATTGTTTCACACTAATTGTGAAATCCAGAGTGCATTTTACACTTAAAGCACATCTCTGTTTAGACTAATTGCATTTTAACTGTTACTAGTGAGTATCATATTGGAAACATAACTATAGAATTCTAGGAGCATTGGTATAATATACAGAATATTGACTTATGGCCAAACCTCTGTTATCAAATTGTGCACTTGTTGCTTACCATGTGCGTCTGGAGAATTTATTTAGTATCATTTGGTTACTTTGTGTTTACTAAGTTTTTGCAAGGATTAGAGCCAAGAGTATTATGCAATTTCTAAGTGTTCATTATTTTTGAAAAAAATCAATGAGACATAACCATGATATATGCCAATGTCTTGCACAACACCTGAAACTTAGGAGGTTTATGCTACAGTTACTTACTTAGCATGTAAGATGTTATCCTAATACTATTGCTTATTTCTGAAATATTAGATATTATGTCTATCTGTAAAAACTTTGATCAATATTTAATTATTTATAACATTTGTACAGTATAAATGCCATATAGTTTTGTAATGTTATATAAGTTAAAAAGCTGTCACAAACAGGGGTAAGAACCTAAGAAGATTATTAGTACTTATAGGGGAATAATTAAGTCCTTCCCCAAAGCTGATGCTTTCATATTTTTCCTCATCTTCTTTTTTAAGCTCACCAGAGGGCACATACACATACCAGAAAGAGACAGCAAGAGAGCAAGAGAGAGAAAAAGAGAGAGAGAGAAAGTGAGAAAACACCTCTCATGGGGAATGTTCACCTCAAATCTCCATTTTGGAATTTTAGTACATATGCACATGTGTTTGGTATGATTTTCAAGCTGTTTGGTCCAGAACTCAAATCACACAGATGGCCATATGGAATCCAATGCCTTAACCACCACTCCAGGAGCTGGCCCTCCTCATTTTAATAAGTGGTATCACCACCAACTATATTTTTAATATTTCTCTTCTCTTTTTTAAGAGTTATTAATTAAAATTCTTTCTTTTTCTTATTCATATTATTTTTTAATTTGCTGTAGGGCATGTGTGCTCACCAGAGAGAGAGAGAGGGAGAGAAAGAGAGAGAGAAAGTGAGAAAGCAAGCCACCAATTTCAGGACTCGAACTACAGTCAGCACTATGGAAATCCAGCGCCTTAACCACCACTCCACTTGCTGGCCCATATTTCTCTTCTCTTTATTCTTCAGCTATAATTTATCTATAAACCTATTGCCTCTCTACCTTGAAATATGTCCCGTCTATGCCTAGTCCAAGCCACTCCCCTTTTTCCTAGACCATTAAGTCTTCTAACTGATCTCCTTGTCTCTATTCTAATCCTCCTATAATACAGTTTTTTACCAGAGGACAGTGCTTGTCTTTAAAAGTATAGCAGAGTCAGGGACCAGCAGATGGCATAATGGTTACATCTCTGGACTCCCACATAGTTCGAGTCCTAGACACAGGCAGGTGTGCATGTGTGCCCAAAATTCCAAGAGGAGAATGGAGGAGAAGGGATCGTGGCATGGCCATCACTCCTGGGGGATGATTTCTCACTTTCTGTGTCTCTGTCTCTCTCTGTCTTTCCAGGGAGCTCATATACCCTATAGCAAAAATCTCTATCTCCCATAAAAGGAAAAAGTATAGCAGAGTTTTTCAGCTCCTCTTGTTCTAGCTTCATTGCCTTTTTCTTTCTTCAAGTCCTATGAGATCCAACAAGATCTCAGTTATTTCTGTGACCTCATTTTGTTTTATCGCTCTCCCTGCTCTTTAATTGCACAGGCTTTAGCAATGCTGGTTTTGTTTGTTTGTTTGTTTGTTTTTTTAATGCTCCTTGACTATTTTAAGCTTTTTCGTTTTGGGGGCTTTTACTCTTGCTCTCTCCTCTATATAGATCGCTCTTTCTATGATATTCAAACAACTGACTTCTTCTTATCCTTCAAATCTTAGCTGAACATCAATTTCTCATGAATGCTTTCCCTGACTCTGATCTAAAATAACTTGATGGTGAACTCACTCTCTATTTTACTATACTTTTTTTAAATTATTATCTGAGATTATTTATCATCATTGCTATTACACCAATAGTACTATTATTATTTTTCATGTATTTCCTTTTACTTGTTTTACTAGAGTAAGCTCTCTGAGAGCTCTGTTCATTTTATTCATCATTATATTCTGATCATCAAACACTGTGCTTGACAAAAAGCAGACACTCACTATTTGTTAAACAAATTGATGAAGTTTTCCCACCTATACTATTATTCTCTATCACAGGAGTTTATGTACATTAAGATGGAAAAGTGATGTGAATCTGTTTAATGTTTTATCTGGTATAGGACTGACTTGGCTATGGGGAGAAATAACCACCACTACCATCACAAACCCTCCTGCTATACCCATAGTATTAAGAGCATCCCTTGATAATGGAGAAAAAAAGTCCGTTTCTATAACTTACAGACATTTAAATTTCAAATAGTTTCCTAAATCTTCATGCAGGAATCTACATAACTAAAAATCAGAGTTGGGGTAGAAAATAGAACTGAATTAAATATCCTATTTTTTTTTGAAATGGAAACACGACAAGTGCTTACAAGCATAGTTAAAACAATATTTTGGTATGATTTCAGTTGGCTCTGATTGTTATATTCCTTTTATTAGTGGAAGAGATAAGAAATAAGATTATAAATAAGTACTGTTTGTATAATGTCAGATGTTTTAAAAGGTTAACATTCCCTCAATAAGAAAAAAAAATTAAATTAAATTCTAAAAGTCATTTAGTTTATTTTCCTGGGAGATTTTATGGATGTTCTTCACCTGTTCACATTATTATTGATAATCCTTTCATAATATGAATAAACAGTTTGTGCTCTGAGTATTTATTCATGTTAACATTTACTTTGTAAAATGTGCTCCTTACAGGAATATAAGTAGCTGCTGGAAAAAACACTGACAACTTCAAAGCAAAATGAAGTTCTTTCTGCTGCTTTCAGCCATTGGGCTCTGCTGGGCTCAGTATTCCCCCAATACTCAGACTGGTCGAACATCTATTGTCCATCTGTTTGAGTGGCGCTGGGTTGATATTGCTCTTGAATGTGAACGATACTTGGCTCCCAATGGATTTGGAGGTGTTCAGGTAGGTATTGTTCATAATATAAATTGCAGTTTACTATCCTTACAGTAAATAGAATGCTGATCGGTATCTGTTAAGCTAGTGTAATATTTTACTTCACATATAAATAGTGTTAAGTAAAAGATTTTTCTGAGGAAGAAAAAAATTCATATTTTATTAACATTATATTTTGATTCTGATATGATCATTCCTCAACAGGACTTCCTTCTCCAATGTGTTATACTTTTCAAGTGCTTGTAAGAAAATGTAGCTGTATATACAAAGATTTGGTATTAATTTTAGATTGGTTAGTTTCTAAAGCATCCAATAGAAAGTAGTAAGTAATGATAAAAATGATATAAAGTAAGTAATAATTTGACACTAATTAAGATTCCTCTATTTGTAGATCTCACCACCCAATGAAAATGTTGTAATTTATAACCCTTCAAGACCTTGGTGGGAAAGATACCAACCGATTAGCTATAAATTATGCACAAGATCTGGAAATGAAGAGCAATTTAGAGACATGGTGACTAGATGTAACAATGTTGGCGTAAGTGAATTCAAGATTTCTTTCATAGTATTTTATAGAAAAATAATTTCTCTTGTGTCTCTTGCTTCTTTGAGCAGAAAGTTTTCCATCTTTTAAAATGCTTATTTTACTCGCACTTTAGTTATCACTCAAAATTACCTGTTGCCTTGATGTTCAACTTTTGTAGATCTTTGTGAATGTGCCACTTATCTACTATTGAAAGCGAAGTTAAAATTTAAAGCAGAATCTACTTGTAAAGCAAAACATTAACTTTTTTTAAGAGACATTTTGGCTATAGAGCACATGTGCTTGCTGGAGAGACAGAGAGACAGAGAGAAAGAAAGTGAGAAATCACTGCCAGGGGGTATGACCATGAAACAATCTCTTCTCCTCCGTTCTCTTCTTGGATATTGGGCATGCAGGCAAACGCGTCCCACGTGTATTATGCTGCTGGGTCTGGGACTCAAATTGAGGTTAACTATGTGGGAGTCAGCGACAAAACCATTATGCTATCTGCTGGTCCCCCAAACATTAACTTTTAACCCTTATAATTATACACATTTTCTGGACACACTTTTCTGGATAGGAATTAGAAATTCTTTAGGACCAGCAGGTGGCATAATGACTATGTCACTCCCATGTAGCCGACCACAGTTGGAGTCCCAGACTTGGTGGCTTAAACTCATGCCAGGTGCGTGTGTGTGTGTGTGTGTGTGTGTGTGTGTGTGTGTGCCCAAGATCCTAAGAGGAGAATGGAGGAGAAGGATTGCGGTGTGGTCATCCTCCGCTGGGGCGTGATTTCTCGCTTTCTGTCTTTCTGTCTGTCTCTGTCTTCCTTGTGAGCGCATGCGCCCTGTACCCCGCCCCCCCCCCCCCCAAAAAAGAGAATAAACTCATTTACAACATTTGCTGCCATTTTTAAAATTTTATCATTTTTTAAAAAATTTGCTACAGGAGGGACCAGCAGTTAGCATAATGGCTGGGGCGCTGGACTCCCATGTAGCCAACC